TATCATTAGCTTTGCCTTGTTTGGGCTTGGCACCATATGTGTTCCAACAATTGTCTCTGTTGATTTTGGGAAATGAAATAGCGTCATCATAACTTACGTTCTGTCCATGTGGTCCATTTCCTTTCACTGGTATTGTTGTGTTCAGCCCCAATTCTGATTCAAGCACAAACATTCGGTCTTGAAGAAGTTTTAGCTCCTGTTTGAGTGAAAAACAGCCGTCGCAAAGTTTTGTTCTTTCCCGTCCTCCCGACATGCTGTAAGTTAGGTAAATTCCACAAGTCTTGTGTTGAAGTTTGTAAAAAGGAGTAATCCGTGTTTTGTGGAATAAAAATGCAAGCAAAAATGATTAAAGGAGATAAAAAAGCAGCAAGCGAGGAGCAGCAAGAGAATGCGACTGCTCTGTCCAGAAGCAGTAAATTATATTGTAAAATATATTATATTATATTATAGGTCTAATATTGCATGGTGGATTCAGGTAAAGGATTCACGTATGTTTTTTTGTATTTCATGGTCTTGTACAGGGTCAGGTAGACATTCTCGCTGGAGACCTTTTAGTGCAAGGCTGAGAAAGGATTAGAAGAACGGTTTGTCTAAATCTGGCCAAAAGTGGTACTGCAACCTCTCCCACTCTCCCTGACTCAGGTTGCCAGATATGCAGACGAATCCAGAAGGGACCATGAAATCTGAATAAGCAAGAGTTTCATCAACAACAAATCTGTAACCAACACGTTTTTCATATACGGTCATATGTTACTTTGCCAGTGAGATTAGCTCTGGCAAAGAGTTCTGGCACCCTGACCACATCCTTTCTGATTGGTGTAATGGTGGAGGGTGGTAGATTGAAATAAAAACCATTTCAAACAACAAGAATCAGATCCAAATTCAGGACACTGTATTGATATCAAAGGGCAATTAATTTTCTCGAGGTAGCTACATGAGTCGCACACTGTGAAGCATCCCCGGAAGTCTGATTTAGTAGCTGTAAAACAAATTTTGAAATTCAAATATCTTAGCTGAACTGCTGTTGTTAGTTAAAGAAGTATTGGAAAAGAGCATGGTTTGTTAATAACTTTTGACATATTAGGGCCATTTAATGATGACTTGAAAATCTTACATATTGCTACTTTAACGGTATCCAGATTTTTTGTGCGCTCTCTTTTCCCCTACAATAAGTACATTGCTGGCTCTAGAGGCTTTTTTAATCACTATTAGCAAATGCAGAATATTTTCATTTTTGTCCAATTTTCCAAATTTTACTAGATTTTACCTGACACTTATTGCATTACCGTTAAAACATTACATCACCATTTTTAAGTGCTTATCAAATGCTTTATTTTAATATATGTTAATGAGGGCTGTAAATAACAATTATTTTGGTGATTTATAAGTTGGACAATTATTCTTTCAAATAACCAATTAATAATTTGGATCCCGAATGGTCAGTAGATATTGGATTTTTATAACATTTGACAGCTCAAGTGATGCCCCTGTCGCATTGACGTAGCGTCCCTGCATCTCGGTAGCGCTTTCACTCAATTTCAGCTGCATGAGTTTAGTATATCAGTACCGAAAAATGCAAGGCAGAAGTGGTGAGGGGTCTTTGATGCTAACGAGTTTAAGATAGCAACTTCTCGTGTGTAAAGTTCTTTAACACAAGTGCAGCTTTGCAGCGTCTCTGTGTCCCGAGATCTTCTAGAGACTGCAGAAAACAGGAGTATCTGCTCATGGAGCTCCTCCATGGATATATTGGAATCCTAACCGGTACATCCATATTGGTGATCACTTATATCCATTGACAGTATAGACAGTATAGAATGTCAACTCAGGGTGAAAGGCATATGTTCATAAGTGCTGGGTCCCCCATTGTAAGTCCCAATTTAATCCTGGTTTAGTCCTTGTTTAGCTCTTGTTTTGGCTGTTTTCTGTCACCACTCTGCTGCTCTCTGATTGGTTGCCGCATGTGTGTCGAGCAAGGAAGTTGAACAATGTATATCTCCTGTGTTCGCTGCATTTGTCTAGTCGCCATACTTGCCTGCCGTGCGCGCCGCAACATACATGCGATGATTAATTTGAACGCCCCATTACTGGCTGCTAATCTAATTAGAAAACACATTTCAAATTCAAATTCAGCAGTCATTATAGAACGATCCGAGTCAACCTATTCTCAACATGTTTTAGTTTATGTGAGATTCAAAAAACAATAGATTAGTAAGTACATATCAGAGCAATTACTCCACATACAGTGAGGACAGAAGCGAGACGCCAAGCACATTGAAGTCGCCGACCATCACAATCCATTCACATTACATTCAGGTCTATTGAACATGTTTTTCTGTTGTAGGAGAAACAGTAGCCCCTACACAGACACAAAGAGAACATGCAAACTCCACACCTATAACTCCACAAACGCCATCTGAAGGTGGAATCAAACCCAGTAGCTTATTTATTTCGAACACAAGCTCAAACCCCTGCGCCACTTATTACAAGTAACTAATTATCAAGTTAGTCGACGACTATTTCAATAATCGATTAGTTGCAATCAGTGGATTAACTTACAGCCCTATTGTTCATGCAGACTTGTACTGTATACTGTGCCGATTAAAAGAAAGGACTTTTGAGCTTGCCGCCTTACTGCGTTACAAATGGCACCATATTCCGTTGTAAAAAGAGAGAAAGATTCACTGCTGTTGGATGCTTTCCTGGAGATGGGCTGCTAAACATGCACAGTTGGACAAAACCCACACTGTTTAAACCAGCCCCACTTTATCTTCCACATAAATATGAGCCTTAAATCTCGCCAGGGCCTACCGCTTTTGTTTACTCTCCGGCTCCGAACACAGAATCCCACTGTGTTCACTCCAGAAGGAGAAATAAAGGCGGCAATACATTGTTTTTAGGAGCCCAGTGTTGTCCATTGTGCACAACTGCAGTTAAACCAGTTGACAGCCTTTGAAGAATGGCTCACCGGCGGAATGGCGGTCTAATGGTGTGAGAGATTGGTGTTCAGGGCTAGTTTAAAAGCACCTGCTCCATAGCCTCGCATCCAGCGTCTGGACCGCAGACCGGCAATGGAATCAATTAAATACGCATCGTAGTTTGGAGATGACTAAACGCTCTCTTGAGTCGCTTGCTACGTGAACCGTGAACAGGGGGTGAAGGCAGGACAGAAACAGGCGGGCGGACAGCGGAGGGAAATGCATGGGGAAGAGCGGCTTGCTTTTGTGCGAATGTTTACACACTGTCAGATTTTCCTATGCAGGTGGTGGTCTGTTATTTTTTCCAAATGGTATTCCTCTCCGATGGACGCCTTAACATCAACACGCTTCAATGACGCCAGAGTCGATCGAGTCAAATGTGAATAATGGTGGTATTTACACTGGATTGGTCCATGATTAGTGACCAATGGCAACGGGGAACGCAAGAGAAATGGTGATGATTAAGTCGGTGGACGTGTTGTATGATTTTCAGGGTTTCTAAATATGGGGTTTGAATAGTCAGGGTTTGAATAGGTTTGTGTAGGTACTTGTGCATATTTGGTTGCATTGAAATGAATTGAATCGCACATAAAGGTCAAGAGATGGGGAATTGTCCTTTATTTGTCATTACTATATTTGTAGATAGATAGATATTGATTCCCCCTAGGAGAAATTAAGGTGTCCAGTAGCAGCAAAAACAGATCCATTCACACAAACAAAGACAAAAAAATGATCATTCTAAAACGCTAACAATAGTAATAATAAGAAACAGCTGGTCACAGCAGCAGAGGTGGTGTAGCCTCTGAGTTCGGACCATTTCCTCTGTCCAGGTCCAAAGTGAGATGCTAAATGTTTCATTAGCGTTTTTCCAAAAGTTAGTATTTCTCCAGTGGATTTTAGCCTGATCCACTTGTTTCGGACCATGAATCCTCTCGGCTCTGGTCTGGACCAGTGCAAAACCATGAACACTGTACTGCAGCAACATCTCAGGCAGAAAAAAGCAAGAAAAATAACAATTGTGAAATTCAAAACAACCACTTTTTCAGAGCTACTTAGGACTTTCTGCTGTTTCCAGCGCATTCAAAAGTAGACCGTATTTGTAAAGTCAAATAATAGAACAGGGATGTTGTTTATTCTCCCAAAGGCTGATTGTATGTCGTGTTCACTATTGCCGATAGCGGTCTAGTCAAAGGTACTCAACTTCATACCAGAACTTAATAACACTAGTTATCACTAGTTTCCACAAATGCAGTATTCTGGCCTCGGTTATATCTTTTAGATCAGCTCTTTCATGCACCTTGCACTGCCAATCAGCAGCTCTGAGGAGGGACGGAGAAGGAAGATTGAGCAAAAAGGCTACCGGGGGACCAAAGCTACATTTAGAACATGCTTTGCGGGCACCTTAAGTGATCCTTGCGGAATAACTTTGTATTTGTATTATTATTATATTTGTAGTAAAGTTTTCAAGATATTCTTCAATTTATCAGTTTTTCAAAAACATACTTATTAGAATAATGAAACCGAAATATTCGCTGGAGGTGAAATCGGGTCAAGATCGTTGACAAATTTCTATTTGTTTGTGTCCAAAACACATGTATAGCTCCGTTCACACACAAGCAGTATTCAAGTTTCCCCATGTGTGGATTATATATTTAGAAAATTAATTTACAATTTATCAGCTCAGAATTGGGTGGGAAGCATCTCCTTGTTGTCCTCATTGTCTCCTTTTTATGATCGGTCTTATTACTATTAATGACATTGAAAAATATTCCACTTGTTTGTGATTCCTAAAATCCCTTAACTTGCAACATTGCATCCAATTACTGAAGGCACTTTTAACTTTAAGTATATGCTCAAACTATCAAAAGACAAATTTGAATGTTTTTAACAGCACTTCTAATTACAAAACAACGTTTATATGCAGCCTAACCATCATGTATAATTTTGCAGATCCCAATGTTTTCTCAAGGTTTGCACTGTGTCTTCTCTGTATTCTAATCAGCTTTGTATGCGTTTCAGGAACACATGATCCTGTGCCGTTTTGCCGACCAAACCGCGGTGCAGCTGCCTCCAGACAGACGCCTCATAGGTAACTCCCATCACAACACATCTATCGGAAATCTTATCCCATTCAATTATTATTATAATATAATATAATATATTATTATAATATAATATAATATATTATTATAATAACGCTTCCTGGGGTTGGTGGTAGAGGTGTTATTTGGTGGGAAGAGAGTAGGAATGTAAATCGGTGACCGTTTAACCGGTGGTTGACCGTCACAGCGTTAACCGGTCAAAGCTGTCGGTTAAAAAAAAGAAAAGGGGGAGAGGGGACGTCTCTTCATAACGCTATTTTAAGACCTATTTGCACGATGTGAAGGAGCGGGTCTGTCTCTAGCTGTGTGTGCCCATGTAGTAGTAAACTACGGGACGACTCTCACGCCGCACGCGCCACGTATGCACGCACACATGCACACGCACACACACACTTTCCCCCTCTCCATACGTAACATCCACACGCATCATCTCTCCCCTCTGTTACCGCCAAAGTTGCACACTGGCGCGGGTCAGAACTACATTGGAGTTCACATTTACACACACACATACATATACACGCATACTCATACACACATACATGTATTGTACACACACACATACCGGTCTGTCGCGCTCCTCTGTGTTACGCAGCCCAAAGAATCCGCGCAAATACACGGCTCCAGTCAAACCACATGGACCATGTTTGTGCTGCTGGTCCTTGTCATTAGATCAGCTCCACACTCATCACTTGTACTTAAACTTTTGTGAAGACCTGTGAGACGCGGCTCGTCAGTCGCTGCTCTGACCATGTGAACGAGCCGTTGTTTGCTGCTAAAAAGTTTTGGCTTTAACCCGCAGCACAGCAGAATGGGAAGATTAAAACAGCAGTTATCTGTGCGCAAAGGTGCCGGAGCTGTTGCGGGTTTGGGCGCCGCTGTCTCGGCTCTGATCCAGCAGAACGCAGAGCTGCACTTATGAAAAGTACGCGGCTCAAAATGGCTGTTATTTCAAAGAACGTGGAATATTTTAAACTACGAGGTTAAGCGGTTTCAACCGGATAATGAGGCTCCGTGGTCGGTCATGAAAATTCATAGTTTTTTACATCCCTAGAAGAGAGCTAATGTATAAAAACTTATCTTTTTTGTATTATCAGTTTTGGTTGGCTGTCCAGACATGTTACATTTTCCCTGTGTGATTTATTATACAACGTTCAAGCCTGTTCAACAGAGCTGCACATATTTGGTGCTAAAAATAACCTATAAATCAGCAATGTAGGGCAATTTTGGTACAATTTCTGTATGATTTCAGCCATTTTAAGGGTGCTCTGTGGTTGTGGGATTAGCACCATCCACCAAAGCTACACTTTCTGACAGTTACACCTGCTACTGACTGATTAGATCTAAACTGTTTTCATGTTTAATTAAGGCTGTACAATAACATGAACAAATATGACCTTAAAAATGGCAAGTGCAAATATTTATACCGCATAGATCGGCAGTAGTTGTATGTATACATCTCGTGTTTCTTTCATACACAAGCGTTGCTGTTTGCTTGCTGGAAAGAATGATTGTTTTGACAGAAAGATGATAATGGGTCCGATGCCATTCTGTGGGGAGATTGCATGTTCTCCCCATGTCTGTGCAGGTTTACTCACGCACACACACACACACACGCATATACACTCACTATGTACTCACTATGTATCAGGACAACAGGTGGACTCGATTCCTTCCACTGACAGTAACTAGACGAATCCTGACTTTCGTACTTTTGTTTCCCATGTCATTTGGAAACATCTGGACTTTGGACATGCCTGGGAAACGTCTTGTATCTGCAGTTAGAGACGGAGCATCTGGAGACAACAGCTGCCCTGTCGGTGCTGTCAGCGCGCGAGTGAATACGTCAGGGGGTATTCGTGTTCGCCCAGATAGCTCTAGATGTTATCAAAGCTCTGTGTGAATCTCCCCATCGCCTCTTCAGCTCCGAGGCCTATAAAAAAGTACCCGACATCACCCGTCACCGCAGCTTCTGCTTCGAATCAGTTAACATTTCCCTCCACCATATTTGATCACCTGTCTCCCGAGCCTGTCGTCCTGCGCACGTGCCTCAACAGCGCTCCATATACGCTAGAACTATTTACCTCAGCTGTCACCTGCTGCCGTGCGGCTAAACGGCAGAATACTTTTGAAGTGTGGGTTCAAAGGAGGTCCTGAGAGACGGGTAAACAGCGCAGTGAGGACTTGAGAGCACTTACTAATCTAAGGAAGGCCCTATTAAGCGAGCGGAGGAATTAAAACCAAGCTTACAATCGCGAGCTACACACATGTCAACATCACACAGGTTAAAGCGGTTTGAAACTTTGAAGCCTTTGTCGCAGTGGGATGGGACCAGATCAGAGGGACATTGATCTGTAGGGTCAGAACATCCTAATGAGGCTCAGTACTTTGCTTCCAAATGTGAAGAGTCTGTGCCTGGGTTTTAAAATGAGTGTATTTACATTCAGAGCAGACCAGGGTCCAGCTCAGATTTATAGATTAAGCCCTCTGCTGGGTTTTTCCTTGGTTTGAGTTTGTGATCAGGAGCGGATTGACCTGCCAACATTATCAAATGATTTGATGTAGTATTTCTTTTATGTTGTCTTTGAAGGGGAAATATTATTATGTGTTTAAACCATTCAGCCACACAGCTCCTCATTGTGTAATCCTTACTTGTATAGCAAATGTTAGATATTAAAGTGGACAGGCAAACTATGTTCTGAATTATGCAGCATTTTAACTACGGCCAAATGAATGGGATGTACGCATTTGCACCAACCTATTTATTCATTAATGGGATGAAGTTCAATTCAGTTTACAAGCGTTTGTGGACAGCTGCTTGAAAGTGATTAATTGTGTTGCATTGTGCCAATATGGATTACAGCTATACACATTTAACATATGGAAAAAGCACCTGATCTAACGAAGGCAGATTCAGCCCCTGCCCCGAAGCAGAGGACACAGCGTTTCCTTGTGTGGAGATCTAAATAGTTTCGAGCGTTTGGTTGCCATTGCCACAAGATAAAATTATCATTTGCAGAAGCCTGTGAAAAATGCTGTAAGCTTCTTGCCTCACTGTCGTTTCATATTGAGCCATTATTCCTCTGGTGCACTATGTTCTGTGTGTAACAGTAGGACCCGGCTGCTGTCTCCAAAGGGTGAGTGGGCTGTGCGTAGCTAAACTTGGAATCCTTGCCCTGTCTCCAAAGGGCAAATGTTCTGTTCGCTCCCCATCAATATAAACGCTCTTTAAAAGCAGCAAGACGTGAGAGGAAAGCCACCAGGATAGAAGTAGTACAGTGCTTCTACTCGGTTCAGACACATGGGACGCTCCCAGTGAATCCACAGAAAGCTTTCTGTCAAACTGTCCTCACACAGACACACTGGTTTAAGAATGATTTATGGCATGAACACAACTGTAAAGGCCTTTTTATAAAGGTGAACGCACCTAATCCTCCCTGTTTCCAAGAGAAGGGAGGAGCAGAAGAGAGCAGGCACTTCTCTTTAGAATCAGAAACAGAATCAATCTATTGCCATTTGTAGAAAAAAAACTACATTGGAATACCAACAGCTCCCACACACAGACAAAAATAGCGAGACAAGACACAATGAGGCACATACAAAACTGAATATGCTTTGAAACACATGCTATATTTTGAAAATGTTTTGTTATTACATATATTAAAGGCCCATAGAAACGTAAATAGGCCTAGGAAGAAAGGTATTAATACATTTTCAACAGGTCCTGATATTTTTTGGTCAGTTCAAAGAAGCAACTATTTAATGTTGCACAGCCCTAGTCGGGAGTGATGGATACAGACTGAGAACCAACTTTTGTCCAGCTTTACAAGAACTTTTCAGATGGAATTAAACCCACAAAATGTAAACTATTCTGTAGTCGTTGGTGGTGAGATTTCTCTCCACGGGTAAAAATCCAACTTACAAAATAGCCAAACAAGCTAGCACTGGATTTATGTGTTGTCGTTTCCCATAATTACAGATTTTGTGAGGATACGAGACACAAAAAACAAAGTAAAGTTGAGCGAGGGATTATGCAGGATTTGGTGAAATGTTGGTGTAACTCCACAGGGGAAAACGAGACTGGAACAGCAAATAATCTTTGAAATTTACTCAGTCAGATTCAAATGAGAAATTGGGCTATTACAGTGCTTGTGTTACTGATGATGACATATAAATGTAATTGTAAGGCATTGATATGTTCTTAAACATTGAATCGGACCATTTTCTTATTATTGTGAGATTTTACATTTGTTTGTTTTAAACCAGATCACAACCTTGATTTGTGATGTCCTTATGACGTTTGCCTCAACATATAAATCAAGATGTTTATTTAAAAACATGCACAACACATGAATCACAGAAGAAAATAATAGACACGTTTTTGCAAAGTGGATGGATGAGCTCTTATGAATCTGTTCAACACCGAGGCAAGACAATTTGGTACAAAATCGTCAAAAAACTATCGCATTACAGAAAACGAATGCAATGATATTATACGGACAAGACAAGACGACACACTCAATCTAGACACTGGTCCAAACGCTCTCTGACCCTATAGCCCTCTCCGACTCCTGTGCTCAGTGCAGAAGACATCGCTCTTTACACCACATTCTTTTTCAGTACTACTTTTTTGGAACAATCTTTAACTCCTCTGTTAACTAATTCCAAATAGTTGCTCCACAACCTGCGACACTCATTTTTTCATCCTTTTTTGCATGTCTATTTTGGAAAAAATGTGTTACATTTGGTGGCTCTATAGTGCACATGCATGAGTATGAGTATGTGTATGTATGTGTAATAATCATTTATACGGTGGCTTTTGCGCAGAGCTCTCTCAAGTGATAATTGCATCACTCTGCCGTTACCCTGGAGACCTGCGCCGATGCTTCTCTAAATCCTCCGAGCAGGGCTTAGGTAAAACCTGCAGCCATTATCAGCCATAATGACAACTTTAGTCTGTCTTTACATCCATTTTCTACAAGCTCCACTCGGCACAGGGACCAGTGCTCCCTAAAGATCCAGCATTACTGTGGAGTGAAGATACTAAACTGAGAAATGCATTTTACGGCTTCTTGTAAAGTGCTTTCTGCCTATTTACACACTCAGCAAAATGTTTCGCTCCCAGCCATTATCTATAGTCACGCAGGGCATCAAGATCGTGAATGGTAATAATGTGTGCTTACGAAGACACATGGACAACACCCAGAAAATTTTCAAGTTGGAACTTCTTTTACAGGATGGCAACAAAGCTAGCACCAGAAATATTAATCCTTCTTAGGCTGCTGTCACATGAAAATCCTAAAGCCCGGTTAAAGTGTGCCTGGGCCCACTTTGAGATTAGATCCTGGCTTTATGTGCTATGTGACCGCGGCAACTGGGCTTGGGCATGGTTGAGACAGGTGGACCTGAGCAGGCTTCTAATGCCCAGATAAGAGGGGCCAGTGTGGCGGGTGGTGGGGAGTGGGGGATGAGGTGTGGTGGGGACTTGATAATGTGCGTCACATAACGTCTACTGTTGTGACCAGTGGGGGCGGATCCCGGCTCAAAAATGGGAAAATATACGTACCCCAGCTTTAATTTAGCAGGTTTAGTTTAGTTTAGTTTCAGGAGAAGACACGGACACTTCTGCGGTGTATTTGCGTGCACAGGTTACACACAGGTTGCAAAGCAGGCACACAACATGCAGAGTATAGTCCTTTGGTGTGTATGGTCTAAACGTGGCGCGCGCTAAACCAGAGCGGCCGCAGCTGCCCCCGGGGTGTGCCCCGGGAGGCGGACTTCATAGCAAACAACAGCCCCGCGATCACACGCGTATTCTTTTAAAACTTGGATTCCGAGAAGGCCTACCTGCTCTGATGCCATCTCACACAGCCATGTGTCCACGGCATTCTGAGTGATATTATGGATAAATGGGCGGGTTATTGCGTTATTTTTTTTTTAAACGCTTTAATAATTTTTTTTATTAACGTGAGTTAACGCGATAATTTTGACAGCCCTAGTTTTTTCATATTTTCCAGCCCCCGCGGCCATTTTGAAACCTCCCATAGACCGCGGAAGTGGTGGCAAATTAGTTTCAATGGCGGACATAGGCATGACTTTGTCCGTTAATATTTACAGTCTATGATTGTGACACAAATTTTCACACACGTCTCTCCCTGCACTTACATATTCTCTGCTTGTGTTAAACCATATATTCATATAAGCCCCTGGACCGCGGTGGAGGGGTGCAGGGGAATGTGTCGCTCCATGGCCAAAGAAAATCATTTCACAGTGTGGTGCTATTGCAATAACACTTCAGAGGTTCAAGAATCAGACTTTATTTAATCGCCAGAACACACCAACACACACTTGTATCCTGCCTGGTTCTGGTTGCTCTGATCGTACTCCACACTTTTCATTCTTTCATTCTCATTCATTCATTTCTCGGCGCTCTTTCGCTTGTTACTAAAAAGGCATGCTCCCGTGTCCGCGGCGCTCACGCACACACACACACACACACACACACGTGCACACACGTTACCCAATGAGCTGCTGCACTTCGGTGACAGACACGTCTCACACTTGTACACATTGCTCTGATACAAACAACGCGTTCCGTGCTCGAGCTGTTAGCTACAGTAGCAGAATGTAAACAGGAAGAGAAACAGAAACTTAACTCGGACAACGAGGTTGTCGCTGAAGTTTGTATTGGCGCCACCAGCTGGACAGAGCGTTGTACTACAGCACAGTTGCTCTGGCAAGGTTGAAAGAACAAGCCCTTGTGACAGCGAGCCGTGCTCCACACCCCTGTGGCGACGATACCGGCCACTTGGCCTAGTTAGTTTGTAAAAACCTATGTGACCGTACCCTTAGACTCTGTTGATCAAGGACTCAACTCTTTCTAACTCTTCCAGTCACTTGACTTTTTTGGAGTGGACTCCTTTCAACCGTCTTGTAATGATCCCGTATCTAGGGAATAGAAAGGTCTTGTCATTTATAGTACTGACTTAACAAGAATGAGGCATTTTGTCCTATTAGAGAAGAATCCTTAAGCATCATTTTTGGGAATTAAAAATTAGGGATGTCCTGATCCTAAAAATATTGAGTTTACTTGCTACAAATGTTGTTTTATAATTTACAATACCAATGATAAAAAGCGTTGAATTGGGATTTAAAAATCGGGTCGGATTTAAAGTTTAACAATCTGAATCAAAAAGTAGTAAGCAAAACATCCTTATTAAAAATATGAGACTTTTCACTCCAACCTCTTTTCAAATTGTGTGTCGAGGTTTATATATTTTGTATCCTGTTGAGGTTTTTTTGTCTTTTGTGCATACTTTGAAATAAGATAAACAACTACTACTACTAAATAATATCATTATTCAAATTCTTGAAGAACCGTTGAGGCCCCTCACCATTGGTCTTACTTTTCTCCTCCAACAAATCTTACTGCTGATGCCATGGGGTAGGGGCTGTTATCTTTCTGTGGGACATTATTGTCTATTTAAGATTGATTGGATATTGGTGGCCTTGAACACCATAGAATAGATCAGTCCATATTACATTCACATGATTGAAGTTTTCAATTATTGTCAGGTCAAACTCTGAATGCACAGCAGTTACAGAGCTGTAAGTGCCGATGTATTCCCCTTCTATCTTGGCTCATGCTTCTTTGTGTCTCTCTGCAGGCAAACAGTGCATGGGGCTGGTGGACTTGGATCGGTCATGGGCAGCAGAGGCTCATGGGTACTCTGTGAGGGTTATGACTATGCAGCCGGAGAGCTGCACGCCAAAGAACAACATGCTGGTGGGGAGACCGGGCCAAGCTGCTGAACAACGTGTATAATGAGTGACTACAAGAACATTTTTATGCGTTTTTTTATTTTCCAATCCTGCCTCTGGATTTATTATTGTGACATAAAACAACACCTTGCTTTATTATATGATAGGTGAAGATATATTTTTTTCTTATTGATTCTGAATGTAAATTTAATAGAAAACTTAGCTGTCTTACTTAGCCTTTTGTGAACATTGTTTGAGAATGTATTCAATTTGATCTCTTTATTAATCAAATGCTGAAAGAAAACACAATCATGAAGTCCAATGTCTGTCTGCACAAATAAAAGTGCTGTTACATTTTCATAATGTGATGCCATTTTGAAATATTTTGTCTCGCAATTGATTATCAGTAAGCTCTTGTAAGTATTGATAAGTTAGAAAACCATCTAGCGGGCTGTATTTAAATGAATGAGAGTCAATAACCTGCTATGACTAAGTAAGTTATCTTTATGTATATAGTGCCTTTCACAGACCTGAGTCACAAAGCGCTGTGTCTCACTCCACACAGAGATGGGAGCGAGGTCGCCAGTACAGAAGGCACATGCCAGATCTATTGTACATGTTTTTAGTGGAAGAGGAAACCAGAGGATACCTACACCAACACGGGGAGAACATGCAAACTCCACTCAGAAAGACCCTGCTCAGACGGCATTCGAACCCAGGACCTTCTTGCTGAGAACTGAGAGTCCTATCCACTCAGCCTCCGTGCCGCCTACATGGTATTCAGGAAAACAACCACACTTCATTTTACTATAAATACAAAGAAATTGGTAATAATTACATTGGAAATAACTTGAAAAGTGTGTCAATAGCCAGCCTTCTTCTCCACACACTTAACTGTCAAAGATGAGATAAACAAACCATTAGATTGGACATAGCTTACATTTTAATCACAGTATCTTTATAATGAGGACTATGCTCACACTCAGAGAGCAGCCGTCCTCCTGTGGACTCACCACCTGCAGAGGGTCAGTGAGGGGCTGGTGCTATGAGACTTGGGTGGCATCTCTGACTGCCACCCCCCTGACCCAGAAATGGATTAAAGGGATGGATCTTTATAATGTCATGGCATCTTATTGTGATCCATGTACTGTATCACAAATCTTATTGTAACCAGAGAGACGGACATTTCCTGGACTAATCTTTGACAGCCCCAATGTGAACAACCTTTTTACTGTACCTTTGCGTTGTATGAGATTCGTCCAATCATTAGATTACCTGCTGTGTCCACATTGCCAAAATGAGACAATGGTTTTGAACTCAAAGACATAATTTCTAGTCTGGCATTTGTCACGGGTCTGTGGAGAAACAGTGATTACAGCTCATAAAGAATAGATGCCTCTATACTATGGATCCATTAGTGTGTTCAGGCCAAATGAATATTTTATCGCGCTGGGGAATGGGTCATTGTGCTTGAATAATCTTTCTAGTTCCAGATGTTAACATTTTCAAACTATATTTTCTAATTGTACATATATTATGAAAACCCCTGTCAGTGTTTCCAATTCCCATCCGTTCTAGGTATACTTTAAATATTGCCTCACGCTGCAAGTACATGATAAAATCATTTGTCTCCTATAATAATGTCAGTTTACGATACCATTATGGCATTATTGATTGACTGCGGAACCTTCCGCAGTCAACCATTGGTTTTGGTGTTCTTTATTCCGTCTTTTTCCTGATTTTTGACACGTTTCACAGCTTTCAAATTTTCAACAATTTCCACAAGTTATACATCAAAACGTTCCACATGTTTGGGAGATTATTGCTATTACTTTTGGGACTTCAGCGATTTCCGGTTTTTCCGCAATCGGACAAAAATCGGTCGATTTTTCCCATTGACTTATAATGGGGCTTCCACAAATTCATAGTTTTCAGAATTTTCTTCAACATTTTCAGCATTTTCTGCAGTTTGTGCATGTTCAGCTTCCACAACTTGTGAGTTTTCAGAAAAAACTAGAAACTTGCAATGGCTGAAGCCATTGCGATTGACTGCGGAACAGATCTAATGTGGAAATCTGCTAAAAAAAATCCTTGAAATCCTTTAAAAGGCCTTGAAACTGTTAAAATACTTGATAGATATTTGAAACTCCTGAAGTCCTTGAAATTGTTGAAACCTTTAAACTCCTGAAATCCTTGAAACTGTTGAAACATTGAAACTCCTGAAATCCTTGAACCTCCTGATATCCTTGAAACTGGTTAAATTCTTAAACAGTTGAAATCCTTGAAACTACTGAATGTATTGAAAGTGTCCTTGAAACTGAAAAATCCCCGCTGAAACAATTTGGTTCCTGTAACTAAGGAAACCTGGTCTGTGGTCATTATCTGGTGGTGGTCTGAGTCTTCGTTTGGGTCTTGGTCTGGTGGTATAATGCAACCTATTAGGTTGCATTATACTGGTTTACATGGAAAAATCCCTATTAGGTTGCATTATACTGGTTTACATGGAAAAATCCCTATTAAGTTGCATTATACTGGTTTACATGGAAAAATCTCTATTAAGTTGCATTATACTGGTTTACATGGAAAAATCCTTATTAAGTTGCATTATACTGGTTTACATGTAAAAACCCCTATTAAGTTCCATTATACTGGTTTACATGTAAAAACCCTATTAAGTTGCATTATACTGGTTTACATGAAAAAAACCCTATTAAGTTGCATTATACTGGTTTACATGGAAAAATCCCTATTAAGTTGCATAATACTGGTTTTCATGGAAAAATCCCTATTAAGTTGCATTATACTGGTTTACATGGAAAAATCCCTATTAAGTTGCATTATACTGGTTTACATGGAAAAATCCCTATTAAGTTGCATTATACTAGTTTACATGGAAAAAACCCTATTAAGTTCCATTATACTGGTTTACATGTAAAAAAAAAACCCTATTAAGTTGCATTATACTGGTTTACATGGAAAAATCCCCATTAAGTTGCATTATACTGGTTTACATGAAAAAACCCTATTAAGTTGCATTATACTGGTTTACATGAAAAAAACCCTATTAAATTGCATTATACTGGTTGACATGGAAAAATCCCTATTAAGTTGCATTATACTGGTTTACATGGAAAAATCCCCATTAAGTTGCATTATACTGGTTTACATGAAAAAAAAACCCTATTAAGTTGCATTATACTGGTTTACATGGAAAAATCCCTATTAAGTTGCATTGTACTGGTTTACATGGAAAAATCCCTATTAAGTTGCATTATACTGGTTTACATGGAAAAAACCCTATTAAGTTGCATTATACTGGTTTACATGGAAAAAACCCTATTAAGTTGCATTATACTGGTTTACATGGAAAAATCCCCATTAAGTTGCATTATACTGGTTTACATGAAAAAAACCCTATTAAGTTGCATTATACTGGTTTACATGAAAAAACCCTATTAAGTTGCATTATACTGGTTTACATGGAAAAAACCCTATTAAGTTGCATTATACTGGTTTACATGGAAAAATCCCCATTAAGTTGCATTATACTGGTTTACATGGAAAAATCCCTATTAGGTTGCATGATTACACTGAAGTCCTTGAAACTGTTGAAACCTTGAAACTGTTGAAACCTTGAAACTGTTGAAGTCCTTGAAACTGTTGAAGTCCTTGAAACTGTTGAAGTCCTTGAAACTGTTGAAACCTTGAAACTGTTGAACCTTGAAACTGTGAAACCTTGAAACAATTGTTGAAACCTTGAAACTGTGGAAACCTTGAAACTGCTGAAGTCCTTGAAACTGTTGATGTCCTTGAAACTGTGAACCTTGAAACTGTGAAGTCCTTGAAACTGTCTTGAAGTCCTTGAAACTGTTGAAGTCCTTGAAACTGTTGAAGTCCTTGAAAATCTTGAAACCTTGAAACTGCTGAAGTCCTTGAAACTGTTGAAGTCATTGAAACTGCTGAAGTCCTTGAAACTGTTGAAGTCCTTGAAACTCTTGAAATCTTGAAACTGCTGAAGTCCTTGAAACTGCTGAAGTCCTTGAAACTGTTGAATCCTTGAAACTGTTGAATCCTTGAAACTGTTGAATCCTTGAAACTGTTGAATCATTGAAACTGTAGAAATGTCTGAAAGAGCTGAAGTCCTATTAAAATGCATGGGCCTATTAAAATGCATTGCAGAATTCTCAATGCAAATTAATGGCAGAATTCCCAAGTCCCGTAGAAAAAAACTGGAAAACTGCAGAACTCTATTTTTTTCTGAAAACTCACAAGTTGTGGAAGCTGAACATGCACAAACTGCAGAAAATGCTGAAAATGTTGAAGAAAATTCTGAAAACTATGAATTTGTGGAAGCCCCATTATAAGTCAATGGGAAAAATCGACCGATTTTTGTCCGATTGCGGAAAAACCGGAAATCGCTGAAGTCCCAAAAGTAATAGCAATAATCTCCCAAACATGTGGGACGTTTTGATGTATAACTTGTGGAAATTGTTGAAAATGTGAAAGCTGTGAAACGTGTCAAAAATCAGGAAAAAGACGGAATAAAGAAAACCAAAACCAATGGTTGACTGCGGAAGGTTCCGCAGTCAAGGAATCATGTAGTCAAGATTTAGTGAGATGAAATCAGTTTAGTTTTGATTCATGGTCTGTCAAATATGCCTTTTTTAAACATCGATTTTTAGTTTGACGGAGCGGCAGTGAGAGCTCTCTCGTTGGCGCTAACACTGCAGTATAGTAATCGCCGCACTATTAGCGGCTTCTTCTGTGACCTCTGCGGGCCGTAGCCGATGTATGAAAACATTTATTCTTTCCACAGTGGGAGAATTTCCAATCGTTGCGCACATTACCGGAGAATAACTAGAGAAAATGTCCAGGAGGAAATTTGTCTTGGACTCACATAAGACAGACACAACACAGTCATGAACCATCACCGCTCTGCTCCATGACCCGCATTCAAGAGGTTCACAGATATGGGTAGAAAGGATTTTTTATAGCAGTTGAGGTATCTTTTCTTAATATTAGTTGGCAATCTGTAGTGGCGGCCTGATGGGAGGAGCTCACACT